CTAGTTGGTTTTCGAAGATTGATTTACGATCAGGTTACCACCAGATACGTGTTCTAGATGATGATATAAAGAAAACTGCTTTCAGAACAAGTTATGGACACTTTGAATTTGTTGTCATGCCGTTTGGACTTACCAATGCACCTGCAGTTTTTATGGAGTTGATGAACACAACATTCTGAGTAGAAAGAAAGTTGAGTTATCTACTTTGAGATTGACAAGTGATCTAACAACTCAATTGAGTTTAATGCATATATCAGCTCAGGAGAATCGAGATGGATTGGAAACTAGTGCTATAAAATGGGATAGTTGGTTGGAAAAGGTGAAGATGGCTCAAGAAACAGATAAAAAAACGAAAGAATTGATGGAAAAGTCCGAAGATTTTACAAGGGCAGGGTATTCCACTTCAAATGATGGGTTGATACTATTGAGAGGTCGTGCATATGTGCCTAAAGATGAAGAATTGAGGAAAGAGTTATTGAAAGAGGTGCATAATACGCGATATTCTATACATCCGGGTACTACAAAGATGTATCGGAATTTGAAGCAGTACTTTCTTTGGCATGGCATGAAAAAGGATATTGCAAAGTTTGTTACTCATTGTCTAACGTGTCAGCTAGTTAAAGCCGAGCACCAAGTACCTGCAGGAAAACTACAGTCACTATCGATACCTCAGTGGAAATGGGACTTGGTGACGATGGATTTTGTAGTTGGGTTGCCAAGGACACCAAAAGGAAATGATGCAATATGGGTTATTGTGGACCGTTTAACTAAGTCTGCACATTTTATCGCGATTAAAAAGGCATTCTCAATGCCTCGTTTAGCACAGGTCTACATAGAAGAAGTGGTAAGACTTCATGGAATCCCCATTAGTATCGTGTCGGACAGAGATCCACGATTTACTTCGAGGTTTTGGAACAGTTTACAAGAGGCTATGGGCACTAAGGTACGATTGAGTACAGCTTATCATCCCCAGACCGATGGACAATCAGAGAGGACGATACAAACGCTAGAGGATATGTTACGTGCGTGCGTATTGGATTGGGGAGGAGAATGGGATCGTCACTTACCACTTGTGGAATTCGCCTACAATAACAGTTTTCATTCAAGTATCGGGATGTCACCTTTTGAGGCGTTATATGGACGACCTTGCAAGACACTTCTCTGTTGGACAGAAGTTGGAGAAAGACGATTGTTAGGTCCTGATATAGTGGATGAAACAACAGACAAGATTAAAGTAATCCAGAAACAGATGAAGGCAGCACAGGATAGACAGAAAAGTTACGCGGATAAACATAGACGTGACATAACTTTTCAAGAGAATGACGAAGTATTTCTCAAAGTACAAGCAACCAAAGGAAAAGCACGCTTCGGAATGACGGGAAAACTAAAACCCAGATTCATTGGACCTTTCAAGGTATTGAGTAAGATAGGAGCAGTGGCTTATAAGGTTGCCTTACCCCCCGAGTTGGCACAAGTTCATGATGTTTCATGTGTCCATGCTTCGGAAGTACCATCCTGACCTTGATCACGTTATTGATTATCAACCGCTTGAGTTAAAACCGGATGGGACTTATGAAGAAGAACCTATCGAAATTGTTGAACGAAAGGTTAAACAACTGCGGAGAAGAGAAATTCCTCTAGTAAAGGTCACGTGGACACACCACAAGGGAGGAGATGCGACTTGGGAATTAGAGGACGACATGAAGGCTCGTTATCCCCGCCTTTTTGGTAAGAAAAAAAACCCGTACATACTATATTAAGTCGTTCTAGAATTCAAAAAGTTACAAAATCTAAATCTCTCTCTACGATCTCTATAACGAACGGAAATTTTAAAAAAAAATGAATGAATTGGGGTAAGGTGATAAAATTAAAAGTTCTGGAAAAATCTGTTATTTCAGTTAGGGTCTTTTAGAACGAAATAAAAGTTTGGGCAGAATTCGAAAATTTCAGAAAATATGGGATTGGACTGCAATTTTTGCTAGGGTTTCTTCTTCTTCTTCTTTTTCCTCCTCCCATGGCCGACCCTAACACCATTGTTGCCTATCCTCCACTCCGATTTGCCTCCTTGCTCGCCGTCGACCATCGATCACCGCCCCGTGGCCACCGCTTCATCACCGTCGGTCCGTTTCTCCATCTTTTCTTAGTTTTTCTTCATCGTTTTCCTTCTCCTTTACCGCCATGGAGTTTTTCCGATTTCCGGCGAACGGAAGCTCGGTTTGGGTTGAGACTTGAAGGGTTTGAAAGCACTTGACGAGTTGAATCTTTTCTGGGTAGTGTCGTCGCCGAAAACGGTGAAACATCGCCGGAAAATCACCGAGAACCGTCGGAGAAAAACTTAGATCTAGGGCGATTTAAGCCGATTTATGCCAAAATAACTTCGGATTTGGATTCCTTGATTGGTTTTACATAGGAAACAAAAAAAATTTAAATGATTCCGAGATGTATGACGGTCGCCGGCCACCGGCCGCCGACCACCACCACCGGCCACCGTCGCCGGAAAATTTTCCGGTGACATGGGTTGAACCGTTTCAATCCTGTGATTCTAATCCGAAATCTGTTTTATAAAATTCAAAGTATTTAGAGATCTTCGAACGATTTAAAATAAGACAGTTTAACCGTAAGACTTACCATTCGATTAACGTTTTTTTTTCGGTAGTAAATATTTTTGAAAAATAATTTGTTGATTAAGATTATTATATGATAATTAATTATAGGTGAAGAAAATCTCGAGGTTATTGAACCCGGGATCGAGGATTAGAGCGAATCTTTCGGAGTTCATCGTTTAGACCAAGGTGAGAGAACTCGACAGATCTCCTCTTTCTTCTATTCGCTTAGACATGATGATAGTGAACGTAGATATCATGCGGTTAGGATTTTAGGATAGACGCCTTAAATTTTCTTGTGAATTTATGATGCATGTTGATTGTTGATTGATGGCTGATGAGTGATGATTGATGATTGATGATTGATGATTGATGATTGATGATTGATGATTGATGATTGATGATTGATGATTGATGATTGATGATTGATGATTGATGATTGATGA